CGGGTAAAGCTGGGGTCTCCTCTGGGTGCGGGAGCAGGGGCCTTCTGGGGCTGTGAGCAGAAGGTGGCTTGAACAAGGGAGGCGCTGAGCTATGTAGCTGTAAGGCTTGCTTTGATTTTATGATTAAGCTTTTGACTTTAAGCCATGCGAATCAAAAGCAGCTTTTTCTGTGGACTTTTCTTGAATGAGTAACCACTTGTTCGCTTATGTAATGATAGTGGCAAGCTCCAGGTGGGAGCTGCCTGGCTGTTTGTAACTGCAAGGGAGTGCTCTGACTTTTTGTCTCAGGGCTGAAAAAAAGCAGTGGAATAATTATTTGTATAAGGTGTCCTCTAATGGCTTCTTTTTCTAGTGAAAAGCTGTCTCTGCTAGTAAAATAACTGGAATTGCTCCTTGATGTTCAAGTGCTACAAGCTGAGCTAAGGCCTGGATTGCTAAGCTAGGAGTAGTGCTCTTTCTTGTACTGAACAAACAGTTAAACACTACAAAGAAGTGACAAAGCAAACCAAAGGTATTGGATCTTTCTGTGTAGGACTGCTAGTGAGACCTTGCCACTTCCCAATCTTGTAGAAGCTCCTTTCAGGCTATGAACCCACCATGTGCACTAATAATGGCTTCAGACATAAGTGTCTGTAGCTAAACTACTATGAAATAGTGTGAAGTATAGGCTTGTTCCCCCCTCCCCATGCCAGGAACCAGCATATGGCAGCTATGTTGTGTATAATGTGGTTTGTTTAAAACGTGTGCTGTAGTAGAAGAAACGACAAGAATGATTTCTTCTTTTTCCTGTGTGGACTTTCCAGGTCACATCAACCTGAAGATGGCAACACTGATCCTTCTTGATAAAGAGAATGGTGAAGTTGGTGCTACTAAGAATCAGCTAAGACTCCCTTCGGGACCTTGTGTGTATATGCTGCCCTAAGCCAGTAGCAGATCAAGTGATGTGTATAAATCATGTTTTTTTATTCACTGTTTGGAACAGTAATAGTTTTCTAATATCTACTTATCTAACCAATTCTGCTAAGCTCATTGATTACTATAAAGATGAAAGTAACTCTGTGCTTTTGTCATAGTTGAGGCTTATGTTCCTGAGTTAAAAGTGGTGAACAATGATTTTTATGAGAACTGGTTTTCCAGCATGTGCACTTACTGAAGCAGGCTTTAGGCTTGATGTGGTGCTGAAGTTTGCTTTTTTCTTCCCCTTTCTCTCCAGCAAAAGTCTTATCTGAAAGAACACAACTTAACACTCCACTTCCTAAAAAAATAATCAGTGTATCTCCAGCCACATCTCACTCTGTCAGAAAGGTTCTTGGAAATGTGAATAGAACTGAAGAAGTCACAAGCAAGATGAAAAAGATAAGACAGAAAAAGCAGCCTTTCACTGCAAATGAAGTGAGTACAGCATGCTTGGGGGGGAATGCATAGTTTATCTACTGTTGTGGCTTAACCCTGGCAGGCAGCTAAGTACCACAGAGCTGCTTGCTCACTCCCCCCTCAGTGGAATGGGGGAGAGAATTGGAAGGGTAAAAGTGAAAAAGCTCATGGGCTGAGATTAAGACAATTTGGGTTTTTAAGATTTTTAACTATTAAAACCAATTTCTTACTACCAGCTGACTGATGCCTTGCCAGTCCCTGAGAAATGGCAGTCCTGGCAAACTTCCCCACCAGTTTTCATTGCTGAGTATGACCCTATATGGTGTGTGGGGTATCCTTTGGGTCAGTTGGGGTCAGCTGTCCTGGCCATGTCCCCTCCCAGCTTCTTGTGTGCCCCCCAAGCCTGTTCACTGGTGGGGTGAGTGGCAGAAAAGGCCATGGCTCTGTGAGCACTGCTCAACACACAGCTGTTTTGGGTATTGCTATCAACACTGTTTTCATTATGAACCCAAAACATAGCATCATATGAGCTACTAGGAAGAAAAATAACTCTATCCTAGCCAAAACCTGTACACCTACATAGGCACAAGGAATATAACAGCTTAGGGACTATCTAATGTCAAAGAACTGGCTCTACAGAAAGTAGTCTGAGTTAATGTCTTGTTCACATGTTGAGTATCAGGAGTTTAATATTATGAGCCTAAATGTTCTACTGCAGTGATCTGTTGCCACTGTATATAGTACTGCACTGCATAAACTCAACTGAAGCATTTGCCCATGTCCAACTTATTTGTGCTGAGTGTATTAGAATTTAGGCATAACTGAGTACTGTATGGCAGGCATTGTCTGTAGACCTGTATAGCACAGGAAAGCAACTACAAAGGTACTACAGCTGGAAACTACAATAGCTCAAATAACATGGCTTTATTTTTAAGATCACTGAAAAGACTGTGGGATTAGAAAGGTGTGATAGAGTGGCTGAAGAAGACTATCCAGAAAAAGAAAATATATTTCCTTTTGATCCTCGAGGTAAGACCTATTGGTGTAACTATTAAAATGAACAATCAGGCTTTCACAAGCATTGACACTGTTGTAAGACTTTGGGCAAGCTATTGTAGCAAACAAGCTAGCACTGCATTTCTTGAGTCCTTTTGTCAACATAAGGGTGCTTGCTACATCTGAAATACCATGTCATTCTTGTTTAAATATCAAACTTGCAATTGCTGTGCTCCAGATATAAATAGTCTAAGTCTGTTATTATGGTGGCAGGAAACTAGTTCCAAATAACCATGCTATAACCTTTTAATTCATCAAAGGGCAACTAGTAGACAAGTATTCAAAGGAACACTTAAGAGGGGTCTATTCTTCAGTACTCCTTAAGAGTGTATTCAAAGATGGCAATCTGTAACTGAAGAGATTCCTACTGCTGTAGCACATAATAGTTGAAGATGAAACTCCTAAAGCTGTTCTTTTAATATCTGCAGTGGGCTGTGCTTTCTCAGTCCTTCAAAGTGTGTCCTTAAACCATCCAGTTCATGTGGAAATGAGCGTGCAAAAACTATTGTACCAAGGACTGCTTGATTGTTGGTGGAACATGTATGCTGTGCTTGATGAAGTTGACTTAGTGTAGTGATTGGAAAGAAATTACTCAAAGCTCCTGCTTATATCAGGAGTTATGTTACACAGTCTAGTCTTTTTTGGTAAGTGTAAAACTGCAAGTAAATACCCCATACAAGGGGACTGTTGGGTTGTGTTGTTTTGGACCTGTTCCCACTTCATTTAATCTAGGAGAACTTGCAGCTTCCCAGGTTACTGTTACTGTACACATTATTAAACTACAGGGTGTCTTTCTCAAACAGACTTTGAGAGTCTTGATCTTCCTGAAGAACACAAAGTAAGTGATATCAGCCTGTGCGGTGTTCCCCTCATGATGTTTGAAGGGACATACGACACATGTGTGAACATGGTTCCTTCACCTGTGAAGATTGAGGAGATTTCATGGGAGTCCAGTAAGTGGAAACTTAGCATGAGTTTCAGTACATACAGTCCTTATCAGTGGTTTGGGAGGGAAGCTAGTTGGCGGCAGTTGTGGACTGCCACTACTGTTCTAACTAGCAGAATAATGCACTAATATCAAACCGCTTTTGGTGTATAGTCAAACTGAATTTAACTGGTCAACCCTACTAGTACAAGGAGTAGTCTCAGTGATGTTGCTGAGCAATCTCTTGCAGTGCATTGCTAACTGATCAGTTAGGTGGAATTGGCTTATGCTATCAAATCATATTTCCCTCAGCCTTTCAAGAGGCTTGTGCTAATCTGCTGGGAGCCAGCTTATGTTAGAGTATAAATTCTGGGTTTCATGAGAAACTGATTTGCTTTATTTCTAACTTTCAGACTTGTTACAATCAACTGCTGACTTCCTTGCTACCCTGGATGAGATCATTGACATGCCACCTCCAAATTATGACCTCTAATGCATATTCTGAAGCTTCTATTGAGTTTAAATTTAATGTAGTTCTGTATTTTAATAAAGGCTAATCTAACCTGTATAATACTGGACTTGTCTATTTTCAGTAGAACCAAGATGTAGGTAGTAAAATAGTCCTGTGAAAAGGAGGCTATCTGACAAGCAATTAAAGCAGATCTTGGATAAGCTTCTAAGGAAGACTGTAATTCACTGCTGTGAACCATATCCAGGAGCTGGTACCTGCTGATTAGACTGTGTGGTCATGATAGACTAAGAGGCCCTTCTCACCTCACTTTAGGTGACTTTATCTATTGAACATGCAAGGGTTTAAAACTAATCTATGTAATCTAGTGTAAATTAAGTACTAGAGCTAGTATTCTTGGCATTTTTCCTTTTCTTAAACTTGTTTGCTCTTCATAGTGGTTGCCTAAGATGTTGGATTCTTATGCAGCTGTAGACTACTAATTTAATTGGTCACAGCATTATGTGGCTCTGACTAGGTACTATTAGTGCTCTGAGTAAAGCCTGGTGGAACCCCATCCTTCAAATTATAAGTACACAGGTTCAATAACCTTCTCTTGCATTGCAATTGCCTCAACTCCTATTCTTAATCACATAAGACAAATAATTTGTAGATGTGATCAGCCTTCACTGAAGTTAAACTGCTTTTGTAGTTCCTGAGCAGTACTCTGATCTAGTTGGATTACAGCAGCCTGAGCTGCCTTCAGCTTTTAGCTCATCCTTAACATGAATCACAGTGCTGTGCCTGTGTTCTGGTCACCTGCTAAGGTAGAAGGGCTTTCTGTTCTTCTGTGATGCACTTGAGCTCTGAACAGGAGGCATTTCCATGTTAGGCTTACCATTAATATGCTGGCACTATGTAACTGCAAGCAGTGGCAAGATCAGCTTTTTGGCTCACACAGTAGTGTCTGAAGTAACGAGAAATATGCTTTAATGATTGCAAGTTGACTAAAATAGGACAGCGCTGTAGCTAAGGAATGGGGTTAATCTGGTGGGGGTCAGTGCTGCATCCCACAGTTCTGTTTCTTGGGAGGCGCACCATGGCTGCAACCTGACCTGGTTTGCAGGTGCTAAAGGCAATGCATTATGTCTAACCATACTCCTTTCATGCTGTTTCTAGGAAACCTGGAAATGCAGGTAGCATGGAGCCCTTGTGTTTTCCAATAAGGTGTTTGGTTTGCAGGTGCTAAAGGCAATGCATTTGCCCTGCTGTGGTGACATAAATAATGAAGGCTCCTTTTAATCTTGAAAAAGGTTAACAGAGCAGAGAATACCCATTTTTCACTGTTTTCTGGTTTGGGATGTTTCCTCAAGATGTTTTGCTTCCTTAATAGTTTTTGATTTTGAAGTAACTTGGCCATTTTGGCTGAGATTGAAGTTTGATGGGTATAATCTACCAGCCACATGATTTAAGTCATAGTTACTATAAAAGTGACAAAATGAATCTGACTTTTTGTCTTTACCAGTTTGAATGAGCTAAGCCCAATTTTGTGGAAAAGTCTAACTAATGCACTGAAACTGGTTACACAGTGCCATCATGTGGTTGTTTGTTACACAGCCACACAGGTAAAAATAGTCATTGGTATGCAAAACACCAGATAACATGGTATGAGATACCATAAGGATCAGATGCTAAATCATCATAAATGTAGCTTGGAACTCTTTGTATGTACAAGCAGACATCTCAGACACTAGAACTTTGTATGTGTTACAAAAGTTTACCATGGCAAAAATAGTTCTTTTGTTGATTTAAAATATTCACTGTTATCAAGCACCTAGATCTATTTGAACCTTCAGAAATAAGCTTTTTATGCCACATCCATGTGTCACAACATTTAAAACATGCTTGCTAGTTGCAAGATTTCATACCAAAATGGACCAGCATTTGTATAATGTTTGTTAAGGTGATAATTAAATTATTCAAGTAGGCCTCTTGGTACTGAAACTTTGATCTTGAAGCCCAAAAGCTTGTTACTTTGTGGTGACAGTGGAATGGGTGTGCAGAAAGCATGCTGTGAGTTAGACTTGGGATTACTGCTGGTCTGTCTGCATGAGAATAAATGCTTCTGCAGTGTAGAGCATAAGGTAATAATGCTAGAATAAACTACATGAGTTCACACTTGTGTAATCTTGTTTACTTAAATTATTAAATCCTTTCAAGGTCTAGGGGAAAGAGATAGTTGTAGGTTTTAGTACTTTCCTTCACCCACCCCAATTTTCTTTTTTCTGTAAAATGATGAAAAGGTGTTTTGGCTGCAGAGGGATGTTTTCTGTGGGATCCTCCTTTCTACAAAAACTTACAGCTGCTGGCAAGCAACACAAGCCAGGGAAATTAAGAAGCAAACAAGGTTTTCAAGATTTTTACCTGTAAGTGGTTGAGATCAAAAAGGTATGTTTGATCATGTAGCCCATCTCTGAGCCAAAGCAGGAGTGTTGCTAGGAGTCTTGCGCATGGGATATAAATCTGTGTTCAGCAACACAATGCAAAAATCAGTTTTCTTTATACTACCACTATAGCTAATGAATATTTAGTGTTGAAAGATTGATTAGCTTTTTAAAGTGTTGGCCATGATCCTTTTGGTTTGAATGATTGAAATTGGACATCATCCATGATAAAACCCAGAGTTAAAAAGTCATAAAACCCAGAGTTAAAAAGTTTCTGCAGCAGATGAATGATGAAGTTAACTTCAGTTTTGGCTAGATGATCATTCTCAGCACCAAATTTTAGGTGACTGGGAAGATTTTTGTTTCCTACTGTAGTGTACCTCATCTGGGGCTTTTTGTTCTCATTGGGATTTCTGGTTAATGCAGGTTCAAGTTTTTGCTTTTACAAAGCTTTATTTTGTAAACATTCATCAGAAAGATCCATTTGTTTTGGCTGGCTTTTATGTCCCCCATTTCATGTAATTTTCAACTCAGCTGGATGGGGTTAAAGGGAAATAGATTTTTCCTGTGACTTGCATGAGAACAAAGCTGTGATGAGACTCAATCTGTGGATTGAGTTTCCTGTTTGCAGTGGCTTGAGGAGATCAGTCACAACAGCGTAGGCTATTTAGAAAATGTCAACTGTCTTAGCCTTGGAGCTGCAAAACTAGCTGGTGTCAGCCCATGAAGTGTTGGCTTCCTGAGACACGGGGAGCCCGGTCATTGGGAATTTTGTACTGCTTCATGCCACTTCAGTTAGGTGTTAACACTGTTGGTGACTGAAAAAACAACTTCCTGAACTGTTTTAATGTTGATACATGCAGCTTTTTATATGCATAAAGCTTTATTTTGTGTTGGGGTATTGTCAGGAATAGATGCAACTTGAGTTCAAAATGGTGTCTGAGCACTACCCTGCACAACAGAAGTCCTGTTTAAAACTGCTTGTAATGTTTTGGTTTACTTGCTAGATCAGTTTACGCTTCCTGCAAAGATCTGAGATATTTGGAGTTTTAAATGTATGGCTGTGACGAAAACAAATGCTTGCTTGGTGGCTTGTTCTCAGTTTGAATGAGCCTTAATAGGCCAGTGTAACTGTGTACCACGATTGGGAAATCTGGATTGTAACCAAGTACACAAAGCAGGTACCTTTTTAGTTGGTTATCACTCTGTAAAGCATCTTCTCTGACAGCATTCTGACTGTGAGAATGTCTTTAAATCCTTACCTGAATTTCTGTAAGGAGAACTTGAAGATTCATATAAAATAATCTCTTAGCAGGCTGAGTAAAATTACTTCAGTGCACATCAGATAATTCATCCTATTTGTAATGTTCTGGCAGCGGGTGGCACCATGGTAACAGCATGTATTACAGCTCCTCACTCCCGCAACCTGACAGCTGTGGTGTGATGGTGTTTGCCTTTGGTACATCAAGCACAGTGTAGGCATCTGTAATGGGTTTCATTGCTTCATTAATGTGAAATGGAGGACAAGAGTCAGCACTAAGGAATTCAGTGTGTCTTTACCCCATGACTAGAGGGAATAGTATATCAGCCAAGGGCATTTTTACTTTTTGTTGTTTAAAAAGAACAGAAAATTAGAAGCCTGAAGGCAATTGGTCTCTAGGGTTAGCAAAGCCATGAATCTTGTAACTTTTAGTTTCACTGTAGTTTTATTAGTGTTAGCAAAGTACTGTATAGAAATAATGTCCCTCTAACTAGCCCCAAAGTGGTACTTGCTGTGCTCCAAGAGACACAGGCACTGATCAGATCAACATGCCTATAACTAGGTTTATACACAGTTTATATGTTTATATGTTTAGTAACTGGTTGTTTAGGATCTAACTGTGCAAGCATGTTTTTGCATATAACTTTGCAAAGCATGTAAGAAAAGCATAGTTGATAAATTTACTTCTAACTGCAGTTTGGGAGAAGTTAAAAGCATGGTGGGCCTGTTGTGCTTGAATGATCTACAAAATTAAAGAAAAGTTATAAAATGTGTATTTTCTTGCAGTCATATTATGAAGAATGCCCGGATGAAAAAGCAGTGTGCAGACAACTTACTGGGGTGGGTGTTTTGTGCTTTTCTAACAGGTGAGGTAATATCTCCCAGTTAATGAAGCTGGAGGGAGGTTCATGGAGCTGAAGGCACACTTCTAAGTCTAGATACAGGGTTTGGTTTTTTGTGCTAGCCAAATTATTTCCATAAGCTGTATGGAAGGTGGAGCTGATGGAGGCCTTCAGATGTTGGTCTTCAGTGGCTCAGGCTGGGTGTCCTTTGAGCACTTCTGCTCAAAATATGTAGCCATCTTGTAAGTCCCCCTGTATCACATGGCCAGTTTAAGTGAATTGCTACAGGCTCCAGTAGAAGTGATTAGTCCCTTTCTATTAGTCAAGGGACAAAACTGAGGTTATTATGCATAGGGAGAACATATAAAGACTGGAAGAGAGAGAGCTTGGAGTCTATATTTTCTTTGAAAACTGTTCTGAGTCAATATTTTTCCTGCAGATCTGAATTCTTTGCTTACAGACATATCAGGTATGTCCTTTGTGTTTGATATCATCTGAAGTGACCTGAACCCATCCCAAATACTAACTTTGGAAAAGTTCAAACCAGGAACAAGATCAGACTTTGTTTGATCTCATTATGACTAATGATAATTTACATAGCACTGAAAGATTTAAGATCCTGTCTGCAAGTATATCACTTAACTGAGATGCTAAATTTG